TTTAATCTGTTGCAAGGATGACATAATCTGTTATAATTATAAAAAGTAAATATGAAAATGTCACATATTTTACATAGGACACTGCATACATACTGCCTGACAGCTACCAGAAAAATTTATATATTATCTGTAAGGCATATATATTTATTATATATATAAAGTATAGGCAGAACTATACCCACATATATGCACTTGTTAATCGGGAAGGCAGAGAAACATATAACTATATATGAATAGACTATAACATACATATATATATACAGAATGTCCAAATACTTATACATGGATTCTCCACGGTTCATACACCTACTTTATGAAAGACACAGGAAATGTGCTTAGTTGAGAATATCATTTGTATACGAAGAAATCACTAATTTTTAAGCAAAAAATCAGGAAAAAAACAGCTAATTCAATAAAAAGGCTGAAAACCAAAGGAATGCTGCAGTATTAGCTTTGGGTCTGTTACTTTTCCAACTAAAGTTTAGCCATTAGGTAAATATTATATACTGTTCATAATCTGATGGTGCAAAACAGTCATCTTATTAATCATTTATTTATAATTACACAATTATCTTCTACTATTTAAAATTGGGCCAGGTGCAGTGGCTCTCGCCTGTAGTCCCAGCACTTTGGGAGGCTAAGGTGGGTGGATTACCTGAGGTCAGGAGTTCAAGGCCAGCCTGGCCAATATGGTGAAACTGCGTCTCTACTAAAAATACAAAAATCAGCTGGGTGTGGTGGCATGTACCTGTAATCCCAGCTTATCAGGAGGCTGAGGCAGGAGAAGAGCTTGAGATCGAGAGGCAGAGGTTGCAGCGAGCTGAGATTGTGCCACTGCGCTCCAGCCTGGGCAATAGAGCGAAACTCCGTCTCAAAAAAAAAACCAAAAAAAATACACACACTCTCTAAGACTGTATCTAGAAAGATGACAAAGCAGGGCCCTAACCTCCTGATAATGAATAGTTTTTCTCACCTATCATGTTGTCTTTCTCAAAAAGCATCATGAAATGTGACTCACGATTTAACAGCTACTGGATTGGGCAGGAATCCAAACTCCATAGAATCAGCAATCTGATGATTTTCTAGTTCATGAGAGCCATTCAGCTGTTCTCCACTATTAGCAAGAGTCCAGTTGGGACCCCAACCAACACGAAATGAGCGTCCCATGAACAGGGCCATGTCCATCAAGAGTTTTCCCTTGCCATAGGTGACAGACTTTTCACGAGGGACTAGGCCTAGTTGCCTACGTGTACCCACTGTTTTCAACGGAACCTCAGGGGCTGGGCTGGGTATTGTGAACACAGAAGTCAGGGGTGGAGGAACAGACCAACAGGATGTGGATGGGATATTCATTAAAGATGCTGTTCTGGGAGTACGACATTCTTGCACAGAGGCACTTGGTGAAAGAAAAGCTCCACTTGTAAATTTTGATTGTAGTAACCCACCAACTGAAATGAAGAGGGAATGAAGGGGAGAAAGACTATTACAAAACACAAGCTATTGTTTCCTGAACAATAACAAAAATCAGTAAGGCTGAAATCATTCGACGTTTTATCAAATTACTTATATCAGATGTGGATGACCAGAAGCAGGCTAAGTCAGATTTTGGAAAAATTACTCTTTGAACTAGGAAATCAGGACAAGATTCTAATGATGATGATAATAACATCTACAACAATAATAAAAGCAACAACACTATTAATACTGTTTAAAAATATGCAGCAGACTCTGTATAAGCCATTTGTGTAGGTTATTTCATTACACTCTTCAAAAACTTTTTTTTAGGAGACAGAATCTCACCCTGTAGCCCTGGCTGGAGTGCAGTGGCATGATCTCGGCTCATTGCAACCTCTGCCTCCTGGGTTCAAGCAATTCTCTGCCTCAGCCTCCTGAGCAGCTGGGATTACAGGCACCCACCACCACACCTGGCTAATTTTTCTGTATTTTTAGTAGAGACTGAGTTTCACCGTCTAGGCCAGGCTGGTCTTGAACTCCTGACCTCGTGATCCACCTGCCTCAGCCTCCCAGAGTGCTGGGATTACAGGCATGAGTCACTGCGCTTGGCCTCAAAAACTTTTAAATGATTAGCATTACTATCATTCCTATTGTATATATGAGAAAACTGAGCTCAGAGAAGTAACTTGTCCAAATTTACAAAGTGACAGGACTAGGAGATAAGCCAAGGTTAAATCTCGTACCACTGCTCACGCCCTTATCAGAATCCTAAAGGTAACGATTTCTTAGGACATATAAAAGTATGATCAAAACTCAAATTCCTATTCTACTCTTAGCTACAGTCAATGAAATAAGAACACACTAGGTATCTTACAATTGCACATGTGACCTTCTGAAGCACAGTTCTTAAAAAAAATTTTTTTTAACATTTAAATTTTTATCTAGCTAGCTAGCTATTATAGGGATGGAGTCTTGCTATGTTGCCCAGGCTGCTCTCCAAATCCTAGCCACAAGTCATACTCCTTCCTCAGCCTCCTAAAGCGCTAGGATTATAGGCATGAGTCACTGTGCCCTGCTGAAGGACAGTTCTTATTACCAGTGCCTGTTTCCCAATTTTACATGGCTTTTGTCTAAAGCATGGAGTTAACAGTTACTAAAGTATCAGATTTAGTATCCATTATGGAAAAGGTTATTAACAATGTTTGATACTTTATTGGTTAAAATATTTTCTTTCTTTCCTCTATACCAAAGGGAAGTTAAAAATACGTTTAAAAAGCAAAGTTGATAATAAGGGAACTCAAAAGAATTGAAAAATATTTAGTTTTTATGGTAATATAAACAAATGTTTTTCTGCCAGTTCCTCTGGCTTTCAAAATATGTTGAAACTACATCTGCTTCAGTTTTTTGCTGATATTAAAACTTTATTCCCAATCCCACATAGTTACAAGGCCACTAGAAAAGAAAAAACTTTAAAATCAAATATGTAACCACTTCCCTGGGAATTTAAAAAGGTTTAGCAAAATGTAAAAATCTGATGTGCTCTGTGCATTATGAGAAGCAATACTTGTCCCTAGAAGACAGCAGGACAGTGCTGTTGGGACTGCACAACAAGAGTACAGTGCAGGACAACTTGCTGAACTCTCTAAGTAATGTTATAAAAATTGGGAAGTCAGAACTTACTATCTAATTCACAATCATAAGCAAACAAAAACTTGAACCTAAACAAAGCACAAATGCTTTTTTTCTCCATACACTTCTGCATCTGCACAGAGGTAATTACAGTTCTTAAAAACCAGCCACTCCTGCCAGGTGCAATGACGCATACCTGTAATCTCAGCACTTTGGGAGGCTGAGGCAGGATGATCACTTGAGGCCAGAAGTTCAAGACCAGCCTGGGCAAGATAGCAAGATCCATCTCTACAAACATTTAAAAAAACAATTAGTTCAGTGGTGGTATATGCCTGTAGTCCTAGCTACTCAGGAGGTGGAGACAGGAAGACTGCTTGAGCCCAAGAGCTCAAGGCTGTAGTGAGCGCGACTGCATAACTGCACTCTCAGTCTGTGCAACAGAGAGAGAGACCCTGTCTCTAAAAACAAAAAACCTGGCTACTCTTAATACTTATGAGTACAATTTCTCTTAGCATCCTTATGTCACAGGTATAGCTGTCTGGCAGGTATTTGCTAGAGAAGTACACTTGGGTGAGAAGAAGAAAAGTGAAAAGCAGGATTTGATGACTGTATAGCTTTCTTGTAAAATAGCATCTTTTATACTGTACCTAGTGAACGAGTTTTCGATGAGTGGGATGCTGAAATGGGAAGTCTCGGAGAACAGATTTCTTGAGAAGTATCTGCTTTGGAAGGAAGGCGACTGAAGCGTTGATCCAGTGCCATATCTACATCTTCTTCATCAGTAAGCAATGATGCTTTCATGATCTAAAAAGGCAATATCTATAGAATGAATGTGCTTCCCAGAATCGAAAGGCAGTACCAAAAAAATGCAGTTTACAACAACCAAAAATAATGCTCCTCCTCAAGGCTGTGTACAGAGCTAGTATATTTGTGTGATGGATGGACCCCATTACACTGTATGTGCTTGAAAGGCAGAATTCATACGATACTTCTATCTATAGCGTCTCACCAGAGCCTGGCACACAACAGCTGCTATGTTTGCTGATAAAATAATTTTAAAGTCAAACATAAGCCAAAGGTTAAACACATAACATGCCAAAAGACATTGGGATAAAGGGAAGTAAAGACATAGTTTAAAAAACCTGTGCTGCCAGGTATTAAAATTTTTAAATTTTGTGGAGCACATACAGAGTCTTAAAAGTACCCTGTGATGTAGACAAATATTTTACAGAGAAAAATCAGTACTCACAGATGTTAAATGACTTGCCTAAAGTCACAAAGTAATAGTTACAAAACTGAGATTGGGGCAGGGTTCAGTGGCTCATGCCTGTAATCCTAGCACTCTGGAAGGCCAACGTGGTCAGATCACCTGAGGTCAGGAGTTTGAGACCACACTGACCAACATGGTGAAACCCCGTCTCTACTAAAAATACACACACACGCACACAAAATTAGCCAGGTGTGGTGGTGGTACATGCCTGCAATCTCAGCTACTCGGGAGGCTGGGAGAGGGGAATCACTTGAACCCAGGAGGTGGAGGCTGCAGTAAACCAATATTGCACCACTCCACTCCAGCCTGGGTGACAGAGTGAAGAAATTGTCTCAAAAACAAAACACAACAAAATTGGGATTGGAACTAGGACTCTGGATTCTAATGCAGTTAAAACCAGAAGCCCTATCTACTAGTTCTCAGTATAGCCTTCTCTCCTTGAATAAGAGAATGAGGCCCAGATATTGGCCATATTCTTATATATTTTTTTCCCATTACAGTGAGCACTCAATGGTCTTAATAACCAAGGAAGATACCTGATCCTATGCAATGGAGATAAAATATTAGTTTGGCTTTCTGTCGTAAAAAAGGTGGGTTAGGACGTCACCTGTAAGACATGTGGATTAATTCCCAGTGAAGACGCAATATGTGTCGAGGCAGACACAGGTTCCTGATCCTCAGGCATGCTCTCTTCTAACATGGTATCCAAAACTGGCTCCTGGGTGATATCTACCATGTCACTGTCCAGTTCCACAACCCTCCCTAACTGCTCCACCTCTGGGCTCTGGCTCTGTAGACAGCAGAAAGATCAGGAAAGCAGTATTAAATTACACCAAACAAAGAGATTCTAAATCAGATTTACTTTATTCAGAATATGATATAGCAATTATTAGATTCAGCCCATTCTATAGTGAGGTAAGGTAGCAGATTTGCTAGAGTGATTTAAAATCAATTGCCCCAAAATAACCCTTATAAAAGTACTTTGATCCAAATAAGGATTCATGTAATCATCCCATTCTAATATTATGACCTGGTGTCTGGGACCTAAACCAGCACCCACAGTGAAACAAATGGTGGTCTTCAGAGACAAAGATTATGCTTTACTTGATCTAGCTAGCAACTACAATTTTCTGATTTACACAGGGTCACCTTTTCCTAACACTGCCTTGTAGCCAGAAACCACTGGAAAAAGAGAACAAAAGGTACAAATATCAAAGTCGCCAGTAACTTTGGTTTTTCTTAAAAACATTTAGAAATAAATTTCTAGTCAACACAATCTTGGGTCTGGAACTTAACTTTTGGGTTACTGAATCCTAAGGTTAGCTGGGCTCTACTTGTGCAGTACCACGTAAGACACGAGCACTATCTACTCTTCCAAAAAACAAAGTAATAATATTAGGAACAATTTTAATCTGGGAAGAATCCCTTTATGTTTAAAAATGTCAAGAGTTATATTTACATTTAGTAAGCAGTTTCAAAGACAACTATGACAGTCTATGATTTAAAAGGGTAAACACTCAAAGCTGAAACACACTGTAAATTAATTGGTACAATACAAATTCAACTACCTATATCCTAAATGTTAGCAAATGACTAAGTCAATATTTGAAATATTTTCAAACCAAAAAAAATTCTAGACCGGGTGTGATAGCTCAGGCTTGTAATCCCAGCACTTTGGGAGGCCAAGATGGGCAGATCACTTGAGGTCAGGAGTTCAAGACCAGTCTGGCCAACATGGTGGTGAAACCGTCACTACTAAAAATACAAAAATTAGCCGAGGTAGTGGTACATGCCTGTAATTCCAGCTACTCGGGAGGCAGCGGAGGTTGTAATGAGCAAAGATTGTGCCACTGCACTCCAGCCTGGACAACAGAATGAGACTCTGTCTCAAAAAAAAAAACAAAAAAATCCCGAAGGAGGAAAAGCCCTGATGATAAAACCCAGGTCTCCCATTTAAATTTTAAGAACAGTGGCTGGGCACAGTGGCTCACGCCTGTAATCCCAGCACCTTGGGACGCTGAGGCAAGTGGATCGCCTGAGGTCAGGAGTTCGAGACCAGCCTGGCCAACATGAAGAAACCCTGTCTCTACTAAAAATACAAAAATTAGCCAGGTGTGGTGGCGGGTGCTTGTACTCCCACTTACTTAGGAGGCTGAGGCAGGAGAATTGCTTGAACCTGAGAGGTGGAGGCTGCAGTGAGCCGAGATTGTGCCATTGCACTTCAGCCTGGATGAGAGTGAAACTTCATCTCAAAA